AACCCGCGACTCAGTTTCAGCAGACTTGATCAACAAAAACACRAGGCGCCTAGTTTCTTCGAGGTTGTCTTACCGACTATCGGTTGATGTCGTGCAGCATAAGGCAGATGACATGCGCAATGCAGTCGGAACCACAGATTTAAACACTCTTGCATTCTCGAACAAAATCCCATCGAGCGCTGAGTCTAATCAACACAAAAGGACAAGCAACCTCCATACATACATCCACTGTGGAAGGTGCAAAATGACAAGGACACACAGGTCAGAAATCAACGGAGGGATTTGTACACACGCATCCACTGTTCACAAGACAAGGGGATCAAACCCTCGACATCTGGGGATTACCCAGGAAACTAATGGAAGAGTTCCGGAAGAAGTTCTTCCTTGCAAGGACTCTCGCGGGTTCGCCTCTATTCATAAGAGGGACAAACCATCAATGCATCATCATTCAAGTCAGAGAGAGAGGGAGAGAGAGGGGTGGGAGGGATAGATAAGGAAAGCTGAGACAAAAGACATCAGAATCCGACACGAGAGTATTCGGCTTCACCGCCATGAACTCACATCCGAAAAAGAATGATTCGTAATGAAGGCGCATTCGCCGTAGAATTCCAATATGGCCCCGGGCCAATCATCCACTCAACTCCAATCACACATCCTCATACCCGCACCGACGATCCCGGCCGTCGCAGGCTAACTTCCACCACTGCAATCGTCACCCCGCTGACGTAGGCTCGACTCGGCTCACCTGGATCCACAGTCCGTCGTGGTGATCAAGCGCGCAACCGGCCAGACTACAGTCATTCCAACAGGACTTTTCGACTCGCACCAAACACACCACCTAGCCACTGCTTCCCAGAAGCTGGCTTGCGAGTGGAAAACGTAAGAGAGCTTTGCGGGCGCGCTTGCGGAATTTATAGTTGCGAGAGAGGAGATAGATGGGGGAAGAGTCAGAGGGGAGATCGAGGTGTAAGGAGAGAAGGTTCAGTGAAGGGGGCTCAGGAGAAGCCATGTTGATCCTTCAGAACCTAGTGGTCGGCCAATTAGATTCGTCGCGCAATAGGAAGATCCTCTTACTCAACGCGTCTGATTGGTGAGCCGGGGTGACCGGAGGATCAACTGGGCTTCGTGAGCCAAGGTTGATGAGCAAGAAGAGACGAGGCGCGAAAAGCAGCGCGAGACGGGTCCAAGATTCAGACGATCAAGAAAGAGAAACAGGCGCGCAAAAGTGAAGAGAGAGAGAAAGAGGGAAAAAACACTTGCGATTAGAGAAGAACTTAAAGAGAAAGAGGGAAGGGAGAGAGAAGAAAGCGTGGGAGAAGAGTGGCGCGGGAAGTAGGGAGGAGGAAGCTCGCATGCTTGGTGCCGACAACAAGAGAAGGCACCAAAACAGTTACAGCTTGCCTATGCCCAAAACCAATTCAAAAATTGAAATCACCATATCTGCGCACGAAAGTCGACGCGGGAAAATAAATTTCTACGCCTCTCCGTATTCTCACAAAATTCCTAAAGTTTTCTCCAACGTGACCGAGAACATTCATGCAAGGAAAAAGATACGTCGGGCTCCGCTTATTCCGTAATTCCTAACTGTCGAGCCCGATTCCCATTGCGCTCGCTAAGGCGCGCATAATTTCCCGTGCATTTTCCGAATTACAAAAACCAGAATTCCAAGAATCAATAGAACTTCCGAAAAAATGGGGGCCCGAACAAGGCGCCTGAAATCAAGATAGGCAACGAAGGTTCTGTGGGGTCGGTATGATACACCAAGGGGGTATTGGGTCAAGGGGTACGAAAGATAGCACGGGGTCGGGAAGTGGTTCGTCACAGGAAGACTGGAAGAAGGAGGAGGGAGGCGGGGGGGG